CGATCAGACAGATTGAAATAAATTAATATAGGAATTACCATTTAAAGTCGCAAAAGCATTAAAAAAATGTGCAATTCAAACAAAACCCAACGAACTTTGTAAATAAAACATTTAAAAATATTACAAAATAGTACATTCTGCTAACAAACAATAGTGCATGATAGAGGCAGAACGTGAAGCGTCGACACTCGATACTGAACCTTATCGATTTTGTATGAAACATAGACACTATCAAGGACTTAAGACGATACTTAATAATAAGTGCTTATCACTCGTTTAAAATATTTAAAATAAAAAATGAAACTTGCATAGCACTTCCCGGTACTAAACTATCATATTTTCAAGAATAATCTAATCCATTATAAATCTTTAGCGTAAAGAAAATCTAGGAACCCCATCGCATCTGCGATTCCCGTAACTACTTGATTCTTTATCTACTATGGACTTATGTACTCCTGGTACTAAATCACTTAAGTTGTCAAAGAAAACTAAAGTTACACATAAATAAATATTGTTAAATCTTTTCACCTATTATTTATTTCGTTTTCACTCAAGGATATTCTGAGAAAATTCAGAGTTTCGAAGTCGTAGTATAAAGAGAGTGTTTATTTTATATTCTTATATTGTTCCACTTTATACATAAACCGCTTAACCAGTTTCCATGAATTTTGTTTAAGTTATAAGTAGATATTACCACGAAGGTCCTGGAAATGTGGGAAGCTTTAATGTTTTGTTATGATTGGTAATATTTATATTACCGCGAGCAAAATTGTGAGCTGTATAATATACTCAATTAATTATATATAATAATAATAGTTTGACTGCACGGTTGGCGCAGTGGCTGGGCAACTGGTTGACGCGTAACGTGTCGCGTTTTTTAAAAAGGAAAAAGGTAAAGAACAGGATACATTTATTATATATATACCTATCACTAATAATACGGCCATGTATAACTATTGAATTGTCTCTTAAGTTTCATGTTTATATCATTTTACACAATAATATTTGCAGATGAGATTATAAGCTAAGATAACGGTCTGCTAGACTTTCCGATTTCCCTAACACATAAGACAAAGATAAAAATGGCGGACTTTTGTGCTTGACAAATTGACAGTCGTAGAATGAGCGGCGAGCTAGGAACAGCAGGGTCCTTTAATGCTAGCATTGTGATAGAAATATTTATCAAACGATGACATTAAAATTTACTTAAGACTTCTTTATAGAAAGGAATTGAATAACCTGATGTTATTGTGAAAAGAAAACATTAAAACATTATTTTATTAAATGCGAAAGTAACTGTTTGTCTGTTTGTCTATCTTTTCTTCACGCCTAAACTACTGAACCGATTTATTTTAAATTTGAAACAGACATAGCTTGGAACTCGAGAAAGGACATAGGATCGCGTGGAAGTCACTATTCCACGCGAACGGAGTCGCGGGCTAAAACTAGTTCACTCATATTTATTTTTTTAACATGGTAGCTAAATATTTTTGAAAAAGCAATGTCCGCTAACAACACTACGTTACAACAAACAATTGTACCTAATTATAACTAAACTTTAAGGCAAACTTATGTAAGTGTGGATAAAAAAATAACTAAAAAAAAATTAATTTTGTCTCGTGTAAACAATTAAATTAATGTTAACGAAACTAAACTTCATTGTTATAGTCTTTAATACTTACTTAGTTATACAAATTCATTCCCTAATAGTTGTGCTACATAAAGCCACAAATATGTAGAATGGATCAAAACAATAAAAAATATTATGAAACAATATTATCTGTAGAACCCATTTAATATCAAAATCAATGTCCGGTCGGATCTGTGATCATTTGAAGACTGATGCGTTTCTATTTAATTTTATTTTGTGTTCGATTTTTAACTATCATCGACTCATAAAATAAGGCCTATTACTCTGAAATGTTTTGTGCTTTTTTCTAGTGTACCTCTCGACTAAAGAGTTAATGCTGTAAGAGGTTTTGATCTATAAAATAAACTTCTTACTTGCGATCCGACCAGCTTCGCAAGGATGCAATGCTGTTACAAAACTTCAGTATTTTAAGGAAATTATTATTAATTTATATAAACAATTCAAAACAACGTCTTCAATTTTTCGATCAAATGAAAAAGATTTAAGCATAGTATATAGGGACAAAGAAACTGACTTAGTTTTATACTATGTAATTATAGGTAGCATATATTACGACACTCGTCAAGTACTCAAACAATTACTAAATTCATAAAAAAATATCCGGATAAGAATTACTTAGGCAAAGAAAAAAATCTCTTCATGTAATTTTTTAAAACGGTAGGCCGTCTACATTTACTTGGGGCACTTATTTTTCATTTATAATGTCCCATGTAGGTAATAGACAGTCAATTAAGAGGGACTAAACCTAATACCATCTCAAATAATAGGTACACATTAAATTAAAATATTATTGATACTATAAGCACTAAATTATGAATAAGCATGGAAATATTGTCTACAAATTCGCAAAGTAATTATTTTATAATTATTCATGCATTAAATCATAATTCTGAGATACGTAAAAAATATTTTCGTATTTTTATAGTTACTTACATAAAAGTGGATTATTCCTTAACTCATTAACGCTTAGCAATTATGGGTAATAACCGGCCGGTAAACCAATATTTCGCAGTGCTCTTATTTTTTAAGTAAATTTTATATCGGCGGAAATTTGCGTTATAAAATTAAGCTCGAGCAGTGGCAAATATTATTAAAAAGAAGTTGAAGTTACCTTAACAGTTGCGTTGATATATATTTATTTATATATGTAAGTAGTTCAACACTTATCAAAAAGTTTTCACACTAATCATAGAGTTTTTAATATCACTATTATAAACACTTACGAAAAAATAATTCACTACTTTTAACGCGAACTTCACTAAAAAGAAATCGGTTTAAAATTGTTTGTCTGTTTGTGTACATCGGTGTTTACGTTAGAGGGATGGTTGGTGATTGAGTGACTCTTGCGCACGCTGAATGGGGATGGAAGGGGCGGCGCGGCGGGGCGCGGGGCACGCCCCCAAAGTTGTTCATTTGAAGCTTATTCATACATTGAAACGATTAATGCGTTTATTTATTAATGAAGTGGGTGACAAATGCTCTCTACTTTTTCTATTGTTGAGTTTAATGTTGAAATAATTGATGTAATTTGGCAACTGTTTAGAATATACTAACCTAACTAACAAACGTACAAGTAATAAAATTGAATTTCTTTGTTTTACTAATATCATACATTTATTTTCCGTTATTTACTACCTTTTGGGGATTAGGGTTGGGCCTCCTGTAACTTCTCACACGACGAAACAATGATGTGGTTGTTTCACGCTGGTTTTCTGTGAGGCCGTGGTATCACTCCGGTCGAGCGGACTCATTCGTACCGAAGCATGGCTCTCCCACACTTAGGTATGTATATTTCGAATTTACTGCATAGTTAGCGCAGTGGCTGGGCAACTAGCTGCTGTGCTACGTGCCAAAGGTTTGTTTCCCTACAACGTTCCACGGATCAATACTTTTTACGATCCATAAATAATGGTTGCAGAACTATTTATATTTGAAAACACACACCTGAGAAAACTCTAGTATAGAGCAGCTTTAAAAACTTTGTGTAAACCGTAAAGTGATAGGTAATATGATTTATCTATACTAATATTATAAAGAGGTAATGTGGGGTAATCTTTGGAACCGCTAGTCAGATTGCCAAAATTCTTTCACTGATAGATAGCTACAATCTTCCTGAGTGCTATAGGCTATAAAACATCACGCTACGATTAAATAGGGCCGAGCAGCGGCTGAAACTGTAAGAGTAGCTACTTTTTAATACTTTAACATCAACAATTAAAGTTGTGAGATGTTATTTCTAGTACTTTACTAGTAGTTAGACGGTAAGACGCCACTCAACACCGGCCGTCAATAATTAAAACTTTATTTCTCAAGTACTATAAAACATTGTTCACCTCAGTTCCTTATGAAAAGTTAGACAGAATTTTCCCATGGCAAACAGAAACCAAACAGAAGCCATTGTTTATCAAACAAACAAAAAAACTTATACATAAGTATCAATTCTACTTAACACGATATCTAAGTTTGTACAAAAGAAGAAACAAAAATTGAAAAGAGTACTGAAACTTTTCTTAAATACCATTTTTAAAAGATATACTTAGGTAAGTGTCAGCCAGCCAGTCAGTTTACATCTTGGTTCATTACATTTTTACCTTTGTTGTAGTGTTACAAAATAAAAAATAAAAATATAATTAATAATAAAATTAAGATACAATTTTACGTAAAAGAGTACTTGATAAATATCCATCCATCCAGCCATTCCTACAAACTTTTTCTACGATTTTACATAATTTTTTCGTTCGAAATTTTTTCGTTCGAACGAAATAATTATTTGCGACAAATAAATATATTGGTAGCTATGTAAATAAAAATGTACTTATGCATTTTAAAAGAAGAATTTGTGATTTATAATTAAAAAAATAGTACCCACCATTAAAAAAGTTCTATAGTTTAAGCTTCAAAAGAGAAATTTCTACCGAGTTGTAAAATCTATTTATTGTACCTAATTTGGTTTTACAACATTCATATATTGAGATGGAAGTAACAGTTTTTATTTAAATTTAACTTCTATTAAAGTACATAATAAGTCAAAATATTGAATCAGTTTACTGCTTACGACCACAGAAAATAATAAACATATTAAGCGTTTAATTATATTGCTAACACGCAAAAACACAATGAACTTACTCATATTTTATTACGCAAACGATTTAAAATTTCAGCGAAGGCAATTAACATACGGTCGAAACAAATTTTACTACCTATTTGGACTGCTGTACGTAATCCGATTACGCGATAAAGTACTTCATGGATTTGTTAATTTCATTAAGTTCAAAATTCAATTGAACCCAAGCCTTACTTTCATTGCAATAAAAACCTATTTCATATTGAAAATATTTTTCAAGTTCTTAAGAGAATGTATAACACTTATACCTTACAAAATAAGGCACTACATATTTTCTATGATTTCCAATAATTCGTTTTTTTATTCGTATTAAAATAGACGATGTACCTCCTGAAGGACACCAAAGATGAGCGCCCATGGACATCTATAGCGACACAGAATAGTTGTAACTTTGCTTTGCCAGCTTTTGGAGGGCTTTTTGACGATTCAGGAAAATGGAAGGGATTATACGGTTAAAGATAACGCAATGACGGTTTTCTGAGAGCCTGTGTTATGATTTCGGTGGAGCCAACCCATTCATGCCGAAGCATGGATACACTTTCTAAACTCAAAAGTTGTAATCCAAACTAATGTTATAAATGCGAAAGTAACTCTGTCTGTCTGTCTGTCTTTTCTTCACGCCAAAAATCCGAAGGAAGTCACAATGTCAAGAATAAAGTCGCGGGCAAAATGTAGTAGTTCATAAAACATCCCCTCGGGATTTTTTTAAAGTCGCTATTTTAGAAATACCTTTGAGATTACTAATATTTTACATCAAAAACTAAACATATCATCTACATACAACACATGTTGGAAGGACTAATCCAAATCATAAACAAATATCATTTCGAAAGAATAAGAAGCGTAAATTTAAACACTAACTGATTAAAGTCATATTTATAATTTTTATAAATAATCAGCATTATTCCACACATTCATAACTCATATACATTGTTATAATATGCATATGGAATTGCCACATATTCGACAGCTGACTTAATTTTTTTGAAGCACGAAATACTTGATCTTTCGAACTTAGTTTTAAAGTTGTACTCAAGAAATATTACTTTGTTTAACTTTGAATTTCTATGCATTTACAACTTGAAAATAAGTTACAATAATTGTTAATTATATTAAAATTTGTCGCTAATTTAAAGTCGGCACAAAATTTGAATAATGAAATAATAGTTACACCTTTTTAAATATAAAATTTCATAATGTATGTTAAGAACTTTAAAAAGTAGAAAAAAATATTTACACTCTTACAAAATGACTACGAATCCCTTAAATTCCTTCAAACTTAAAATTTCGCAATGCTTGCTATATTAATTAATATATTACGTTAAAAGGGCTTGAAATATAATTTAATGCATCGGTCAAAAACTTTTAACGCACGAAACCGAACACTCCGAGATAAAACCAAAGACACCATTTAATTTGTTTAAATTACATTTCAACGCTAATAAAAACGCAATCAAACCTACTTATAAAATCTCAGTGAAAAATATAAGTACTACTTAAAAGTTTTTTTTCACAGACAAAATTGAAAAGACAATACGTAAAAATTCGCGGTAAAAAAAGGTTTTTAAATGAATAAAGAGCGCGGTAATATAATTTTAGATGTCATTGTACTTACCTGTGGGGTGCTGGTACTCACTTATTAAACACTCAAAATCTGAGCACGGTACACGCACCGTGCTCCAGACTAGAGGACCGGAGACGGTAAACTATGCAAATATTGTGCTTGAATGATGATAAGGTTTTACTCTAGGCGCGCTAGGGAGCGGGTGGGTGGAGGGTGGCCGTTGCACGCGTAAATCAATCAATTGCCCAACACCTAGAATGCGACGGCACGAAAAATTATCTCCTTATTCTCTTACATTTTTGTTTTAAACAAACTGTTTGTTTTTACTTAAAAAGTTTAATTTAAGCCCATTCGATCATCCCGTAATGATAAGGTGATAAAAAATGCATACTTGCCTTCGTCAAAAATATTATTACACTATTTATTCCACTTACATTTTCAATAATAATATTATTTTTATTTCACTTTCGTTATTGATTGTACTGAACACTTAAAATAGACATTTAGCTACTTAGTTAATTTTCAAGAAATAACTAATTTACTTTAACACTTAAGTCTATATGGCTTCACGACACATAATCCCGAAAAAGTTTCCTAAAAAACTGTTAAATTTTGAGAATTTGAAAAATGAGTTGATTTAGACTAGTTACAAAATTCTATGAAACTTCAAAATTATTACAGTTGTCAACTTAGTGTTAGGTCAGTTATTAGCAACGGACTTATTTAATTTTGGAATAGCCACAATTTTTGTACAGCTCTTCAGCTTCGTTGGAGTATGAATGAGTTATTTTTCAGTTTCCTTCAGCATTATGTAAGAAGAGAATTTACTTTGTTATCTTCGTTTTCTATGGATACTGACCTTTACATTTTTATGGAATCTTTTTGCAAAACGAACAACATGATTGTGTACGATTTACACATTGTATTTCCTTGCTATGGTTTGTTGACAAAACTTTACAATATTTATTTATGTAATCAGTTACTGGCGTGTTTTGTTTTCTTTATTATGGTTTTTGTTGCTTTAAGTGCTATACATTTTTTTGTCAGTGTAAAATCATCAAATGACTTCTCCTACCCAGGGTAAGGCGAGAGAGTGTCAGACTCTTATTGACTAAAAACCCCCGTTCCTTCACCTGCTCTGGGCCGAGGCCTCGGTGACATATTGCGCTTAACCCGCAACCTCGGTCGAATATCAGCCCTATAGGGCCCCGTGTGTGGGGGTCTGTTGGCTATTTGAGGCGCGCGCGGAACGGTGCGTACCGTACCGCCGCGTTCGGGTCTGGTTCTGGTCGGGCGGTGAGCTACCCTTACTTACCGTCCGCTGCCCCGCGTTTAAGGAGGCCGGAGATCATCCCTAGATCCCCGACGCCCGGAAAGTCGCCTGCGATAGTGCTATACATGAAGTTATGGATTTATTGAAAACAATGACGACGCCGCGACGCGCACGCTGATAAGTTCCGTTGTGACCTGAAACTAGAGCTTTTCTCAAGTCTCTTAAATCACGTGACTAAGTCTTTATATTTAATAAATTAATACAATAGATAATATTCAAAAATGATTTGGGTTTACCGCATCGAGTAATATAAATGTTTATTTGGCAGATCGTATATTAGTTAATTCAACGTTACAATACTAAAGGTAAAATATTTTGGATCATATTAGATAGTCGTGTAGTACAATCACACAATCGAATTACAAATTACATCGCACAATGAGACTTCAGTACTCCAAAGCTTTGGAAACTATGGAGTTGGCACGAACTTCCTCAACTACCTAAACTTATAATCACGCTATCGATTCGAACGACTGCGGTTTCAAAAAGGAAAATACGGTACTCATCGTTTGTGCAATATTATTATTAAAAAATAGCATGATAGCCAAACGGAATGGGGGAGTGCGTTATAATAATACCCCATAATAAAATTCAACAGACAATGCACGGCTGCCGCATTCACTACTAAAATGGGGTGCCATCTTTAAAACTATGTCACTGCGCTGTCAAAAGTGACGTAAATCAACGCAGCGTTGCTGTGATTGGTCGAATGTCGTTCGACGTCACAAGGGGGCCAGTTTTATTTAATTTAGGGCCACTTTGCCGAGATTACCCTTTGTGTTCGTGACTTCGGGGTTGCCTTCATGACTGGCTAGTCATTTTTTAATCGCAGCTCATTATTTCTTTGTTTGTCTATTCTGGGATGCTTTTAGGGGAAGTTGTATGAGCAGAGAACTTCATTGTGCGTTGCATTCAATTTGAACCGGAAGATGGGAATAATTGTACTGTTGTTGTGGAGTTGAGAAAAAAAGAGTTGATGTATGTTTACACTGCCCTGTACAGATAAATCAATGCGTTTAAATAATATTTGGTATTTAGGTAGTCTAAACGGAGTAAATTGGTTAGACCATAGTTCTTATGTTCCCTTGTAAGATGGGACGGGTTGGTATTTTAAGACTGGAAAATTGAGTAGGTTATTTGATGTACCAAGGGCGGTCGGTGTATCTGCTGCTTAAAAAGTTTAATATTATTTATATTGACCTTATATGATAATGGGCCTTAGCCACACTGGTGATTCTGGCTGGATGGCATAAATTCAACTGGACTGTCTAAATGACAACTCGACTAGGTCGCAAGTGCCTAAAGCCGCAAGCTCTAAACTTAGATAGCAATCGCCTTTGACTGCGCAGCGAGTGGTCACATCAGGCCGATACCTAAAATCAGCTTCGTAAACGGCCAGTAGCAAGCTGGTAAACTTTCAAAGGTTTTTTTACATGGTATAGGTCGGCAAACAAGCACACCGCACCCCCCAAAAGAGTAACGAGTGCGTTGTAAGCCTTTTTGAGATAAAGGATTGCGAAGGGATGGTGGGAGGGGGAGAGATTGGATCTCCGGTAACCTCACTCACACGGCGAAACACAACGCGGTGGTTGTTTCACGCTGGTTTCGGTGAGGCCTTGGTATCACTTCAGTCAAGCCGACCCATTCGTGCCAAAGTTTGGCTCTCCCACACTTATGTTACTGTTGAACCTCCGATAATTTTAATCGCCTATGTTCGTGGTGGCCCTGAGGTTAAGCTTCTCGCTTATCTTACATTCGAAGAAGGGTTCGAAACCTTGCAAGTACCAATATAACTTCGTCTAAGTGACAAGTTCTTTCTCAGTCCTTAAAGCCACCACCAAAAACAAATAAAGAAAACACATTGATAAAGCCTATTATATAATTTCTAATTAAAAGTTTGAAATTACCAATCAGCCATGAGCAAGTGTATTAGTGTAGTGATTAATGATCAAAACTTCTCCGTATGAGAAGAGTCGTTTGCTCTACAGTGAGCACTCAAAGGCTGGTGATGCTGAAATGGTCAAGACATGTGTGTATGATGCGGCTGCCTGTAAAGCAACTAGCAGCACGCAAAAAACATGGCCTCGTTTAAAACTCTCACAGTTTATAGCAGTTTGCAAACGATAATTTTATTGGTAAAACTTTACAAGACCTATTGATTGCTTCCCTGTTTTTAAAATGAAATTTATTTTTTAAGTGTCAACATTATTAGTGTGGTGTTGGGCAAGCTTATTAGGAAGCTAGCAATTTTATTTTATCGTCGGAAATTTTACTTTTATATTTGAAACGAAACTGGGGCACAGCTTGGTACCTAGTTAGTACATCCTTACCTACCTACCTTACCTTACCGTAGTTTTCCATTGAATTCGCGTTCCTGTGAATTGCTATTTTCAGAATGTATATATCATTGGTTGAGATCTAATTTGATTCCAGTTATACGATATATGAATATCTTACTATAATTTTGTGATGGACCGAGTGTATCGGTCTGAAACTGAAATCTGAATTTTTTCTTTTTTTATTACGACATTTAGAACTTACTGACAAACGTTGAAGGTAAACATAATTAACCTGCACTTTCTTAACCATGGTGATCATGCTCATTTATTCGTATGAGAATAGGCCTTTTCTTAGCAATGGGATAGTTTTAGGCTGGTGATGTGATGCTGTAAGTATATTATAATATCATGCAGCCAACGACTTCATACCATAATAAAGCTAATAAGAAATTATTTATACATATGTATGTAAAATACTTACGTAAAAATACAAAGGCCTTCTCATGATCGCCGTTACCGAAACGGCGGAACCCCTCTTTGAGAAGTGGTTAGAGAGACGCAACGACATCCTCGCCCTTCGCCTGACGCGGGCGTTTACAGGGCACGGAAATTTCGGGAGATAGTTTGTATCGTAGTCTCAACGGGAGGCACGGAGCGTGTCATTAAGGGCTCCGCAGTTAGTCTCCTGAGAGAGCCCGGTGTCCCATACAGGTTTTGATGTTAGCCACCGGGGAGGTTTTAGTAAGGTAAAACGTCCCACGTTAACAGACTAGTGTAACTCCAAAAGTTAGAGGTCTCGTGAAGGTTTTCCCGAAAAAAAAACAAATGTGTCAATATGAGGACCGAACGACACGGTAAACTATAAGGTGGCAGTGGATCTTGCTTTGGCTGAGCACCGCTATGAGACCAGGAAAGCAATCGGCGGTGGCGACCCCTCGCGCGTGGCCTTGTTCTGGGCAATGATGCAGAGCGAAAGAAAATGGTCAATCATCCTTCTCCTTCAGCGAAGCAGTCATGCTCGGATGAGTCTTGCATTAAAGGAAGCGGAGCACGTCAAGCGACGGTCTTTTTTAACCCAGTCACCACAAAATACACCCCGGGCGTCGAGGATCGCGATACGATCACGTGTGGGTTAAGGACGCCGAGTTTGGACGGTAGCTCCGCTTAAGCTAAAAACCCTTTAGGGAGATTTGAAATTGTACTTCGACTGACAAGGGCAAATCCTCCGCTAGCATAGCCACATGATGCCGCCATGGCGTTTAGTGTGTTAAATAGGTACAGGAATGTTAATAAATAAAATGATGAACATATAACATTATTTATTGTTTCATTATATATTATACAACAATTACTCTAACAAACAGAATAACGCGGCTTTCCACTCGTTCGTGCACTTACATTCTTGGCTGTAGGTTGTACATGACCTTTATAACGGCCAACTAAAAAGAAAACGGAGCCTCATGCTAATTGTCTAGGTTTAAATTAACACAATTGGTTGTAGTCGTCAGATTTACAATTACAGTTTTAGTTATATTTTTTTTTACATAAAATATATAACTAGCTAAATGCCTGGCAGTTCGAAGGCCGAAGGTTGAAGGATGAAGACACTTTCATTAGGTTCATTAGGGTAAATGAAAGAAGAAAGAAAGAAAGAAAAGACAATAATTCAGCACCAGGCACGACGCAGCATATAAAAAGACAATAAAAGTGTGACAGTAGAAGTAAGATAAACATGAGTAAAAGATTAAAACAGAAGAAACAGAAAATAGACGCTACAACATGCCCATGCTAAATGGGTTACCCACTCAGTGTCAGCTAGGCATACCAGTCGCCCAGCACCGATTTTCAGTGGGCACCCCTAAATTAGGTTCATCAATTATAAACGCTAAATTAATAAACTGAATCGCCGTCAGAATAGACAGCTACGAGGCTTAAGTTCTTAAGTTGGCTGCTATATACAAATTGATCTAATAATTGCTATAATTAGGTTAAAACTAATCCATATGTCCATTACTAAATTAGTTCGCTAACAATAATCAGTATCTACGATAGCATATAGAGTTTGCACCATTTCCAATTATACCGATTCAGCATCTTTACAATTATTTAGAACAGAGTCAGTACTTGCTTCGAAAGTACTGTAATAACATTGGAACGATAAAGATACCATAGATATTCGTAATCGTCTTTATTATTTTATTCGTAAAATAACGAAAAAAAAGTTTGTATATATTTTATTAATAAAAATACTTGAAATACGAGTACAATATATAACTTATAATATTGTCGAAAACATCTACATCTTTTCTGAAGGATGTGGATAAGCCTATGTATGTATGTACTATATTATATAGATATACTTACTAGGGACCCGTCCCAACTTCATAAGCAAACATAGGGATATAGTGACAGAAGAAGCAACTTGGTTTTACCTATGTACATTTACTGTGTAATGATTTGAACTTAGTCTAGCAATGGAGTAGATTTTAAAATATCTATTTGTATAGTAATACTAGTAATGAAGAACATTGAACGAAGTCATAAGAATTTACATTTTAAACTAATCATTAACGTGAATCAGGAACTGATTTAAATCTAGTAGCTAATTAACAACTAGGTACAACTACAACCCAGCCTACAAAAACTATTACTATAATTGCAAAAAAATACGTTAATTACATAACTCAATTATTTTTGTTTTTGGCAAATTGACAACGAAATTTATTTAAAGTTCTCACTATAAACTTAACCACAATAATAAGACTGAATTATTATAAAAGCAGGGAAATGTGTGTGGCAAGTTTTTTTTTGTAATATACATATAAATATTAAAATATACATGTGTATATTTTTTAATATTAAGCGTTTCGCTTCTATCTTCGTTCATTTATTCTGTTCTTCGAATAAAAATAAAGAAATTAATGTTCCCTTATTTAAAAATGGAAACCTCATTATACCTTTTTAAGTCATAGACAATGCCATAGCATTACATAGACAATGCTATGTGGCGAAGTAGTCAGTGGTTTTGATCGATCATACAATACAATACATATCAGTAAACTACGAATTCCTATGATTCAAGAAAAATACCGCAAAACGAGATGAATAGAGGCAGAACTTATTGGAATTCAATATAACAGATAATTGCTTGATCGAGGTATTGTTGATTGCGTTCAAATTCTTCAATTCAGAAAGTATTTATAGGAAGTTTAATTTTTTAAATTCACATCGAAAGCACGAGCTGTAGAAAATAATGTATTTCAATTTGTCGATTTATATTTTTTTTACGAATTGTCTTATTTTATTTATGAAATTTAATTTTTATTTTTTATTAAAACGCTATAGAAAAAATGTTCCTTATTTAAATTTAAAATTATTGTAACGTAATGAGGTTGACAGTTTATTTAGAAAAAAATATTTTTTATTGAATAAAAAGCTCTTTTGTTGTTTATGCTTATCAAGAGAAAAAGTTTTGTTAACATTGAGGTGTAAATATATTGATGTTTATTTTACTTTTGTGTCTATTCATCTCATTTTGAATTAGTACATTTTTATTTATTAATTAAACACTTTACTGTACACCTGTAGTAACATTGGATAGCTAACAAATCTCTGTACAATGGGCAGTCTTACTGCACAAGACTTACAGAAAACATCGGAGTAAAGTTGAAATAAGACCTATAAAGTTTTTGTTTGTTTTCTAAAAATATACACATACATACCATAATGTTTTTAGACAATACGAAGTCATTTAAATTGCAACAGAAAAATACTCAATACAGACTTTGGCACTGAATGTAAACTGTTCCGTTACACCATTTAAGAAAAGAAGAAAAAGAAAATTCATATCTTTCTCTATAAGACCATAGAGAAATAACCACCAGATTTTTTCTAACGCGCGAAACAATCGTTCAATTTTACAAATCGATTCAGAACGTCTACTTAATTTATACATTATTTAACTTTGTTACAATAATATTTAAAGAGATAACTTTATTAAACTGAGGGCCTGTTTCACTACCTTCATTCAAGTACCAACTAAATTACGTTCTATTTTCAAATTTGAAAGTGACCATCCAGGCGTTGTGAAACAGACCCTTAGTCGTTTTACAGTCCAATATTCATAGTATTCTGACAATTAACATGGAATACTGGTCAGTCAGGGTTGCCTTACATACGGCGTAAAAACCCTGAACTTCGGTGTCCTTAATTATGTGATCTTTCAATACATTTTCTCTCATTTTAGAGACAGGTAAATGCAGCTAATCTTTAGGCAATGCACTGTCGCTTTTTCCTCTAGAATATACTCTGTACGCAGTTTTAGAGCCTAGCATTCTGTCCAGTAAACTATGTTTGGCTCTCCGTCTATGCGTTAAGACCTCTCTACAGAGTTCGTGAAATACCTCCCCGACTTGATTCACTTGTTCCGCGGCAGCTACTTCAGCAAAACTGCACTCGAAGTCCTTTGCAAGGATCTCGCCCTCTTCGGGACTCACCTGTAAAATAATAGTTTCATGAAAGTAAGAAAAGAAGAAAGAAACGCATGCGTGCTTTTAGCACGTAAAACGGTGTAAAACTGCCACAGCGTAGTGTTTCGCGGTGTGAGTGAGGTTACCGCTCGCCCAACATGCCGGGCGTCGGGGATCGAGAGACGATCTCCGGCGCCGGATGGCGAGTAAGGGTTGCTCGCCGTCCGAACGTTTCGCGCGCGCCTCAAACAGCCAATAGACCACCTCAGACGGAGCCCTATAGGGCTGATGTTGGGATTGCGGGGTAAGCACAATGAGGCACCGCCAGAGCTCAGGCCAGAGCAGGCGAAGGAACGGGGGGTTTTTAGTGAGTAAGAGTCTGACACTCTCTCTCCCTTACACTGCGGCGAGAGAAGTCATTTGATAATTTTCCCCAGACAAAAAAAAAGAAAAGCCCAATCCGTCTCTTCCCCCATCCCTCCCCAACCCCTAAAAAATCCTTAACGACCGGCAACGCTGCTTATATGAAATGAAATGAAATGAAATGAAATGAAATGAAATGAAATGAAATGAAATGAAATGAAATGAAATGAAATGAAATGAAATGAAATGAAATGAAATGAAATGAAATGAAATGAAATCTTTATTTGTGATACATAGGTACATTTGGTTGATTATTTTTAAATTAGAGTGCGCTATGATCAGCCTATTTTAGGCATACAAATAATTGTTTATTAATCGTTTGAGTTTTTTTTTATTATTATTAATCAAGTAACCAGTTAGGAATGCGAATATGAATTAATGAATTACATGTCAACATTGTTCGTCAAAAAGTCAGATGAAAAAAACCACATAATATAAGTCATAATAAATTGATGTCCATGAGTAGGTAATTAATGGATATTTGTAGTCAATACGTTAAAATAAGTCAACAAATAAACTAAATTAAAATTTATCCATTAAAAAATCTGAGACACTGTAATAACATTTTTGACACAGTAAATGTTTTAAAGATTTTTTAAAAATATGAATATTAGCTTGTTTTAGCTCTTTTGGCAATTTATTATAGACAGCTGGAGCCATGTGAAAGACACTTTTATGCATTAATGCAGTATTCGTTCTGGGTATACATAGGCGATTCTCATCCCTTTGTGGCCGATTATAAGCTTCAGATAATAAAACAAAGCGTTGAGGATTTTGTTTTACAAAGACTGCGATTTCATAAATGTATAGTGAAGGTAAGGTCATAAGATTGTGTCTTTTGAAGAAAGGTACACAGCTGTCAGTTGTTTTTAAACCAAACATAGCCCGAACGCACCTTTTCTGTGCCCTGAAGATAAGAATTTTATTGGTTGAATTCCCCCAGAATATTATGCCATACCTAAGAACAGATGCTACTAGCCCATGATAGGCGATTATTAGTGAGTTGCAATTAATTTTATGTGCGAGTTCATGTAGGACATAAGCTGATTTACTCATACGTTTGCATAGTTGTTCAGTATGCTTTTTCCAAGACATTTTATCATCAATGTGCAATCCGAGAAATTTTGTACTATTTGTTTCTATAATGGCTTGTGCGTTATAATTTACATTCAAATTGTTGGGTGAAGGTAAACGTTGTTTGAAGTGCATTAGTTGTGTTTTATAACTTATTATAACTTCTCTGGTGTTGTTTGCTTACCATCAGGTAGTCCTTGTGGAATTTGGCCGGCCTATTACTTGAGCTAAAAAATGGGGACACGTGGCGCCATCTATTATTGTGTATGAGAACTATTTGATAATGTGGAAATCTTGTTGGTATTGTCAGTTTATTTAGTAGGTATGCAATGGAGGATAACACGATTTATTTTTAAGTTTTTAATACCAATATAAATGTTTATTTATCCTCATATGTGTACGTACCCTCACAAGTCTTTAACTTAAATATCTTTTATCTAAGTACAAACATACATTTTCACTTACACATTACAAATAGTAGACCCGGAAAACAGAATTTGTGAACACAAACAAATGGAATAAAGATTTCGAAATTATGTTTAGGAATCGAACCCACAAGTTATTGTTCAGCACCCAGTTGCTTAGCCACGGCGCCAACAGTGTAGTTAGATCATACAATTCATAGAAAAGTATTTCATACCGTTTAAAACCTATAGTAAAAAGCCGTTGGCAAAACTAACAGGCAGTTTACGAAAATAGAAAATGTTGGTTTTCGAGCGTTTTATTGAATTTAATTTACCTGTCTCAGGTGCACCATGTCAGCTTTATTACCGACGAGAGCGAGAGGTATTTCTGGCTGGAGGCTCTGCTTGGCCCGACGGACGTAGTTGAAGGATTCTCGGTCTGTGATTGAGTACACCAGGAACAGACCGTCAGCCCATTGCGCGATCTCATTGCCGGGCAACTCATCTAGACTCTGAAACAATAGGTTACCAACATTATCTAGGTATACTAACATTATAAACAGGTTTTTTTTATTAAACGTTGCCCCACTCTTGGGTTTTCTTGGGTGAGTTTATAAACACTTGGGTGTCGTGGGTGCGTTTATAAACATACAATTTCACACACACATCACACTCACACCCGAAACAACAATTTGTGGGTCACACAAAGAGTTGTTCTGTGCGGGAATCGGGCAGCCAGTTGCCCAGCCACTACGCCAACCGTGCAGTCAAAAATTTATAGGTTTGTATGTAGAGGGTAATCTTTAAAACTGCTGGTCGGATTACCAAAATTCTTTCACAGATAGATGGCTAAAATTCTCATGAGTGTGGCTGTAAAACACCACTCTACGGCCAATAAGAGCCGAGCAGCGGGTAAAAAAGCGCGTTAAAAACTATAGACTGATAAAATTATACATATGTATGTACATAAAATTAGCGTACCGAAGTAATGCCGATACTAAATTTCTCCTTTGAAGGATGTTATTATACATATTACGTATAAATTTTACTCTTTAGGGATAATTTTTCAATGGTTAGATAAAAGTTATCTGGGGAATAATTATGAGGCTGTCCCGCTGGAATGTTTTTATAAGACAGTGTCGGCAACAATTTTATTCCTCAGGTAACATTTATCTGACTATTGAAATATCAGCCCTAAATCACTCTGTGTATAAAAAAATCCGCATCAAAGTCCATTGCGTAGTGTTAAAGATTTAAAAATACCTACATAGGGATATATGGACAGAGAATACGACTTTGCTTTATACTATGTAGTGATAAAGAACAATGGATTTATCTACGGCTTTAATATTACAAATAAACCGAAGTATAACTTTTACAGCTTTTACACAAAATCTAAGCTTATAAAACAGCACATCGAGCAACCCTTATCTGTCAATGACAATACAATTTCAACTTTACCGTACAGCCATAAGGTTGATTTTGTATGAAAGTGTCTCGTATAATTCAAGGTTTAGTTCGTGTAAAAAAAGCTTATAATGTAGTTACAAAACATTTTATAACATGACACGCAACTACCGGGGTTGGTTGCCAAGTGGATGCGTCATAAGACAGAATACACTGGCCCACTAGTCACTACTGGTGCCATGATCGCTCAACTAAGCGTTACCATGACAAATATTTTTTGGCAAAAGAATTATTTGTATCAATTAATTAATTATTGCTTGAACAAGCTGCCGTTTAGCGCGATTACGACACGAATGTTGTCAGTTTTTTTGTGAATTTGATTAATTATTTTTTTCTTAGCTACAGGATGTATTAACCTAAATACGATACGAAGCTTCTTTTTAAATTAATTATTTTACTACGATATGTAGTTTTTATGTATTCGTTTCTATTGAAATGAGAAACATATTATCTACGTCAATTAGTGATGGGATTCTACCTGGGTAAATTCCCAAAATGGGAAAATTCCCGGGAATATTCCCATTGAACCCACCCAATGGGTATTTATTCGGGTATTTATATTTTCATGATCTAAGAACAATTTTTTATCAAAATACATCTTAAAAAAGCACCGCGTTATGCAAAAAATAAACAAAGAAAATTTGAATTTGGCGCCAGCGTTGAAGCTTTGTTTGAACGTACGCGCCGGCGGCGCTGACGGTGCGTGGTGTTTTTTGATTGGTGCATTTCATCTACCTGGTAAAGGTAGATAAAGGTGGCCATGTTTAGTATTCACGTGAGTATCGGATATTGCGGATGTGTCTTATGTATTATACTACAACAATTCTGGTGTTTTGTGTTGAAACTTGTTAACTGGGTTTTTGAAAATTGAACTTGATAATTTTCGCAACGGATTCGTAGTGAATTATTTAATTATTGTTTTGAGTGAGACGATCAAATCGAATTTACGTAAGTATAATTGTTCCTTTAAAATATATTTATTGATTTTATTTATATTAAAATAAAATTATTTATATAAAAATTGAAAAGACCTCTGATAGAAAAGCATACCAATATAAACTTGCTCAAACACTATCATATTAGTTTGTTCAGTTTATATATTTCATTAGAAATCCCGGCAATGGGTATTTTTGTCGCAAGTTAATAAAACATTGCTTAATTTACAATATATTTCAAAATCAAAGATGAGTTGATGACACTTAAAGATGAGTTTTATGAATCAGGCATACGTCCTTCAACTTATTTAACTTACCTACGTCGAATAATTTTCGATTATTCGCGGAAATTGATAACTATAATAAATACTGCATAATTTTCAGTACATGAGTTTCCTGAATTCCATATGTCCTTAAACTGATTTTAACCTACTTTTTGTTATAGATATCATTATGCCGAAACAGAAAAAACAAAAAGTGTGGAGACATTACCACAGCTTACCCGACAAATCAGTCAAATGCACATTTTGTTCAAAAATGTACCGTGTACCCAATGTAACCAAAATGGGTACGCACTTGCTGAAGTGTCCTAAATGTCCACTGGTTATAAGAAACGAGTTAACGGAAAGCTGTGAAGAAACATCGTTAATAGCATCAAATACAACGAACTCAGCAATTACAGAAGGAGGATATGTAACCTCAACACCCAGTGACGCTACTCCGTTGCTCGAATTTACAGAAGAAAAAAAGCGACGACTTACAAAGTTGCTTTCAAAGGCAATTTATGTTACTGGCTCGCCTCTGTCTATGGTGGAACATCCTCTGTGGAGAGAGTTTTTTAAGGAACTCCAGCCACTGTTCGAACTGCCAACACGGAAAGTTGTGTCCACAACGCATTTAGACACGATTTACAATGAAATGGAACGAGAAATAACTGAAGAATTGAAGTCGACTAACAATTTACATCTTCAGTGCGATGGATGGAGCAACCGACGGAACGAGGGTATTATTAATTTTGTGATTGCAAAACCTGAACCCGTTTTTGTGAAAAGTTTAGCTACAAGTAGCCACCGTCACACTGCCGAATACCTAAGTGAAGAAATTCAACAAGTAATGAGAACTTACGGAACGTACAAATTTGTGTCATTGATAGGAGATAACGCAAGAAATCTACAAAAAGCTTTTGATTTAGTTAAACTGGAACATCCGAACGTAATCACACTTAATTGCGTAGCACACACATTGAATTTATTGTGTCATGACATAATGAAAGAAGATGCTATAGAAGCCTTCATATCAGTGGCCATCGACGTAATCAAATCTGTAAAAAAAAGTCAAATACTGTGTGCGTTATTCAAACAGATAATTGCAGAAAAAGGTTCTGGCGAGCAACTAAAATTGCCCAGTAAGACGCGTTGGGGCAGTTACTTTCATGCTGTGCGTAGTTTGCAAAATAGCAAAGCGGCTCTGCAATGCTTGGCAGTACATGAAGATGCAAAAATGATCCCAGCTGATATTAAAGCTCATTTACTAGATGAAGAATTTTGGAAAATGATCGACGAATCTACAGCTATTTTAGAGCCAATAACAGATTACATATTTAAACTAGAAGGGAACGAATCCTACATTAATGACGTGTACATGGCATTTAAAGATATTAAATCACGTTTGGTCTTTCTTCTACCTGGTTTTTCTTCTTTATTTGACGATAATATCAGAGACAGGATTTTGAATGCAGTTGATAAACGCAGAGAGAACTGCATAAAGCCTATTCATCTAGCAGCCTATATGTTAGATCCAAAATGTCAAGGCATCGAAATGAACGAGGATGAAGAAATTATTGCCATGGATTTCATTCATGAGAAAGGTAGGCAGTTAAATTTGGAAGTAATTACAGATTTAGCCAATTATAGAGCAAGAGAAGGCTTCTGGGCAAAATCTTTTGTGTGGGCCAGCCTCCAGAACATGAAACCTTTAACTTGGTGGAAAGGAATTTGCAAAAACAAGGCTCTAAGCAAAGTTGCAGCTTGTCTTTTAACTGCTCCCTGTACATCGGCTGCAACAGAACGAACTTTCAGCATTCATGGCAACATCCACAGCCTTAAACGGAATAGGTTAACAACAGAAAGAGCTGCAAAGCTTGCCTACATATCTTATAACTGGAATTTATTACATAATCAAAAAGACGAAGAAGTAGATGAAGACGAAGAGGAACCCATTTCAAGTCCTCTTATGGTTAGCCCATCAACCATAAAAAATATTGAACCTCAGCCATCAACTTCTGGAAGAAATACTAGACAAATAGAGTTTTGCGATGTAACAAAAATATTATCCGATAATAGTGACTTAGACAGTGACTAAATTAGTCTCGATAACATGTTACCATAGAGAGTATTTAAATTTGATGTACTAATTACATTTTTTGTTACCTTGTATTTCAATTTTAAACCATCATTTTAATATTTACACCAACTCAATTGTTGATTAAATGATTTTGGGATTGATGTTTTTGTATTTATTCTATACTTACCAATTTAATAATCATAGAAATTAATATACCCGCCATTTGGAAATTTTCCCGGATATATACCTATTTTGGGTATATACCCAGGAATATTCCGGGTGGAATGATAGAAACTTTCCGAGTCGCACATCACTAACGTCAATCGTTTTGTTATTGATTCGATAAATAACGTTAATCTCTGTGTGTGATCTCCGAGTCTAGGCGTCATGTGTATATGAAATTGTATATTTTCATACGTATATTTTATAGGAGAAAATCATAGTATAGTGACAAAAATTAAAAGAAAAAAAAAATTGGTAAGTAGCTGATTGCTCCCACGACAAATACATACTAATATTATTAATGCAAAAGTCTGTCTGTCTTTTCTTCAAGCCTACTGAACATATTTGTATGAATTTTGGTACAGACATCGTTTGGAACTCGAGAAAGGACATAGGATAGTTTTTAAATCAATAATCTACAGGAAGAAAAGTCGCGGGCAACGGCTAGTGGCATAGAACCCTTTTCAAACTCGAGCATACAAAAAATATTTGACGTAAATTTTTTTCCCGCTTAAATGTCTGACATAAGTTTTGACACAACTAGTTTAATGTCAGTGTCAACTTCTAACATAATGTCTGTTCGCTAGTTTCTCAAGCGTTTTTAGACTAAATTATCTGGATAGGTGGACTCAATAACTCATGAAAATAGGTCATTTACCTTTGGACATGTATCCAGAATTTCGAACAGTATCGGCTCACCGTCCAATAAAGCTTCATGTTTGTATTTGCTATCTGTAATAAGAAAAAAAGAATTAAAAAAACCTGATCACATTGAACAGGTGAATCAAAATCTTTAATACCTACTTACATTGACAAAAACTTAGATTATTTATAAAGGATAGATATATATACCTATCCTACATAGGTAACAAAACAGGTGATGGCATTTTTAAGGATGTTTAAACCAAAATTTTCTAAATGTTAGAATCTAGATGTGAAATACTGAACCCCTAGCGCAGCTATTTACACTTTCTATAACTTACTGGGCTTACTGAAAATACATTTTCAGACGTTTCTAAAAGACTAGTTTCTTCATGAACACTAAAACAATCTAATCAAATTCTAATTTAATTAATTACCTTGTTGATGATCGTACTCTCCGATGTACCTCTTCGTCAAGAATCGGACTGTAAGAGCTGGAAAAGAAATTGATATAGTTGTTATTTATTCTTACAATTATTTGGTGGCAGAGCTGAACATCGAGCTCAGTGGCTGGGCAAAAGATTGTAGTGCAGCAGCAATGATGGGGCTTGATTCTCACACACAAAAAATCCACCGGTTTGTTGTGAATTGAGTAAAATATTTAAGTTTGTCTCTTTAGGATCAAGAGGAAAGGTTAGACAAGCCTACAAAAATTGGGAAAACAGAGAACGCGAAAAAAATTGAGACAACTACTATATACTCCTCCTCCTCTAAGAGGTGTCAGGTAAACCTAACTTGGTGTCATGTTTAAAAAGTTTAACAACGCTAAGATTGAACGTAATTGTCTGCATTGCTACCGACAATACAAACAGGGATTTCTTTCGAGAACATCTTATACACAGAAGAATATACCTTATATTCTTTGGTTTTAAAGCGAAATTAATATTGACTGTCTTCCTAGCTTTTTTAATTTTCGTAATCTTATCTATTTCTTTCTCTTTCTTCATATAATCTGTTCTGGTCCCTAGACACCTTTTACAATACGCTACTTTCAAAGCGAAAATGTTAATGTTTAACTTACAATCTTTAATATGGGACTTTAGGCTTTTTTACTGTGAAAATTGCAAGTTTGCGGTAGGTGTTAATTACTGGATAAAATCCCATCTCTATGTCATTGTAATCAATTTACTTTTTTTATGTAATAGATCGGCAAAAGAGCAGACGGATTACCTGATGGTAAGTAGTCAGCGCCGCCCCTGGACATCCGCAACGGAGGAGTTACGAGTGCGTTGCCGACCTTTTAGGGTTAGGGATTTGGAGATTTAGGTATTGAGGGGGAATTGGGGGTGGGGAAGGATTGGGCCACCGGTAACCTCACTCATACGACGAAACACAATGCTGTGGTTGTTTCACGCCGGTTTTCTGTCAGGCTGTGGTATCACTCCGGTAGTTTTCCATCAAGACTATCTGATTTACCATTTTAAGTATTTATTTTGACAACTAAGCTAGTGTTTATATTTTATTGATAATATCACTACATTATTTAAATAGTCATAAATCAATGTACCTTATCCAAACCTAAAGTAAATAAAAATACGATTAACAGTTTAGTTTACTAGGTAAGGCGTTCCGTGAACGGGTGGGGTAAGTCCTAATATAGAACTCCTAGAAATATCTTTTTCTATTTCCTATTTTCTTGTCTTTTTAATTAAGTTGGAATGGTAAAAGGAAATGTATTTTTTAAGGATTCTATCTCAGAAAATGCATCCCATTGAGTACCGTATGCCCACAGAATGTACAGAAATACTTGACTTCCAGGGTCAATCAATATTCTACAGTCAGAAATATATAAAAAAACAATCCTAAAAATACATCACATATAAGATTAAAAGCAATATTTTTTAATAATAAGTAATAAGTGTTGTGAGACATTACACTAAATTTGTTAAAAATAACAACTTACTCGAGTGAATCAACTGAGAAAAGCTCTACCAGTTTCGAGTTACATCGGAACTCTAATTCGTGATCAGTGTGCGCTTGTCGGCTGCGGCATATATTACTCAAATATTATTTGGCAATATTTTACTTATTCCTAAAGATTTCCTTTTTTATCGACATAACATAGCTACGCCATTGTATAAATAATGAAATTATTTTATATGATTTTGATTCTATATTGAGTTGGTTCATCATAGCACAAGTATAAAACTTATTCGGTTTTAGTTTCTGTTCAAAATTTTTTTTTTTATTAAATTTAAAATTAATAGGCTTCATCTAGTTTTTCACATATAAATTGCCGGCTTCATCTAGTTGTTCACATAGAAATTGACGTGTAAAAGTGCCGTTTTATGGCCTATTTGCAAATATAAAGTCATTGTCATTGTTTCATTGATAAATTAAGAAATAAATAATTTCATGATCCCATTTCGAAAAACTTTTAATCTTAGACTGATGTCTACGTAGGCACCTACTTAAAGCTTTTCCATCAAGTCTGTTATCTATTACGCAAACAATAGCTATAGGTACTATCATTTGTTAAAGAAATCCTTCACGTCAAAAAGCTATTAAGTGGCTTAGGATGTGAAAAAATAACACTACAAGATGTAAAAAAATACAAACGTTTTAAATATATGTTAGTAGGAACAAAATACCTACATTCGTACGACAGTTGTTATATGTTACATCCGGAATCTATTTTCTCGTGACCCTGCAGTCGAGGTCACGGTCCGATTGCGAAAATATTACGTACGGTACGAATTCACTTTCGCAATATATTAGCTTGTTCATAAAACACCGTTAAAATCGTAAGTCAAGGAAGAAAAAACTAATTATTTATCTGTGGTATCCAGCTGACGTTACATTTTCGCGCGCCTTTTTCTAAATATGTTATCTGTGCATGTGCTGTACTCAGTGGATTACATAGACGAGTACACTGTAAAAAATACCACAGACAATATAATTTTGAATTGTCAAACTCTTTGCTATATTGGAAGCGATTGTGTGATAGCTTGGGTCTCTATAAAGTTATTTCAAGGAAGGTTTTGCAGCCTGTAAAAGTTGAAATTGAGCATTACAAAAAATACTTAACAGTATTCGGATATGTGGTTCTATCGTAAGTGTCGCGCAAGCCGAGCAAGATATTGGTGGCGTTGAGTAATTTGTACAAAATATTTCAAATTTTCGGAAATTGGCTGTAACATCAAGAAGCTTGGCACAGTGCGAGGTGCAGGGTAGGCTTTTACAATAATACATTGCAGTAGTCTACTAGGTGAAAGTGGGTGGATTTTTATAAATAAGATTTATATACGAGAAGTAAATGTATATAATAGCTAAGTGAACTGACGATATCCGCAGGGTGGTTGGCAGTGGTTGGATGACATGACAAGAGCTGAACATCGCGTAGCGAACAATTGGGGAGGCTTATGTCCAGCAGTGGACGAAATGGGGCTGATGATGACGAAGATAAATGAAATATATTTATTTATTCAATATTAAAAGAATGCGGTACAATTTGTCTTCCTCCCGAAAGGGGTTGTTGTGAGTTCTCGAAAAACAAGGTAATTCGTTCAAATGCCAAATAGGTTAATGCTCCGTTAAAGTGACCGGTTCAGACATAAATTGAGTCAAAGAAATTGGCAATCACCTCAACGAGTGGCGGGCGGCGTTTTCAGAGTTACTCTTCAATGTCGTTCGTTGAACTACTACACTAGCTACCATAAATCTTCCCCAATACTAATACTTCTACTTTTTAGTTAACATTGAACTTTATAACTAGCTACTCTCCGTTACCGCTGGTCGGCTTCAGCAGATTGTAGTGTTTATAGCCTATAGCCTTCCTTGATAAATGATCTCACGAACATATAAAGAACAGCACGTCGATTCTATAAAATTTGTTTGATTTTGAATCTTGTTCGAGTGCGAAGTGAGTGTCGAAGTGACGGGGTAATTAAATTTTAGAATGTCACTTTTAACGTCATCTCATACTTTATCTATCAAAATGTTGCTGTCAATTTAGTTCAACTCGCAAGTGTAGCGCTAGTGTACTACCACTCACAGCGGATTCAGATTCGAAGTTTAGAATGAAGTCTTACAGAATCACACATCAGTTCAATTCGAACCATAAGACCTCGTTTACGTTTAAGCGGCGCGTTGTGCGGTGCGATGTGCGGTTCGTCATACATTGCTCGTGATGTTCATATGTTTGTATTTGCACGGCCGTTGACACGATTTGTTGCTGTAATGTACGACAAACGAAATACGCGCCGCGCAACGCCCCGCGTCTTCGTAAACGAGACCTTAGTTCTAGAGATTAGCGCGTTCAAACAAACTCTGCAGCTTTATAATATTATATAATAAGTATATACCTATGTATAATATTAGTATAGATTTTAATATTTGTTACTTAAAAAAACGACGAATGCTGACAAACCGATAAGCTGGTTTTGAGGGAACTGTGTTATTTTTATATTATTGTATATAATAATTTAATAAAAAAATAACAAGTTTAGAGGTTTTTTTTTCTCTCAAATTCCTATTTCAATTTAGGGTGCTCGCGTCTCTGTATTTCGGCTATATGATCTAGTATAATTTTAAGAACAATACAATAGGAAGACATTTCTCAATTAACTTGAGAAAGCTTAGTTGATTATATGCATGTAATCCAACGTTGCTAGCGCCATCTCGTAAAGCAAAATTAAAAACCTACATTGAGCAGTTTGAAAATAAACAGCGCCATCTGGAGGGAGTATAGAAACAATGAATAAATAGGTAGAAAGAACATTTCGCTCCGTAGTTATGGCGGATGCAAAATATAATTTACACCATCCTACAATACTCTTCCCGCGGGTGTTAGATATAAGAATTGATTTAGGGACAACATATTGGTAGGCAACAATTTATTTTATAAAGGCGGCCAATAATCGTATAACCCAATAATAGCTGACCCGGCAAACTTAGTACCGCCTCAAACATAACACATAATTTTTTTATTTTCTGTATTTCCAGGAATATTTCAGGCTTCCTCGAGTTTTATCGGGACTTAAGAACAGCAATTCATTTTTATATATAAGAAGATACATACATTAACGAAGAAAAACTCAACTACAGAAACAGAGGGTACTTCATAGGTACTATAATAATATAATATTCTCTTTCTGCAGTCTTAGCAGAAATGTAGAAATTTCAAAAGCACTCATTAAACTAAGTCCAAGTAGTCCAGTAGTAGTAGTAAAAAACACAAAGTCAAATCATTTATTTAAATTAGATTACAGGCACTTTGGACTTCAAATGAAGATTGAAGAAAAATTCAGTCAGTCTTTCTGAACAGAAAGACTCAGTACTCTTAGTGAAGCTATATGCAGTCTTACGCTTTTGACCGTCAGACTAAAGAACCAGGACTTAAGAAAGTCGGTCTGTATCGCTAAGCTATTGTTCCAAAGCATATATAAGAAAAGAGAAGAATGAGCAAGTAACTCCATAAGAACTTCATTTGTCA